TAGCAAATTTCATTATCTAGTATTGCGGAGAAAATCATAACAACAGATTAGGAGGATCAATACATGAATTACTAGACTAATTCCCACATCTGAAGCTGCGGCAAGCACACAGTTTTTAACATTGTCGAAAAACAGTCAATAATCTGAAGCTACTGTAAGCACACATTTTTCAACATTTTCCAAAATATTTAATTTTATTAAATATTAATTAGTAGAAAATTAAAATGATTTATTTTGTTCATATATATATTTACCACAAGAATCTGGCAAGCAATAATAATAATAATAATAATAATAATAATAATAATAATAATAATAATAATAATAATAATAATAATAATAATAATAATAATAATAATAATAATAATAATAATAATAATAATAATAATAATAATAATAATAATAATAATAATAATAATAATAATAATAATAATAATAATAATAATAATAATAATAATAATAATAATAATAATAATAATAAAAATACATAGAAAAAAATAATCATCATATTTTATATTTTTCTATAGGGTGACAGGTAATCCTGATTTGTGCAAATCAGGAAACTCATGCAAGAGTGCTTTTACACCAACCAATAATAATAATAATCCAGGATTTGGAGGATCTAATAGTAATTATAATAATAATAATAATAATCGAGGATTTGGAGGATCTAATAGTAATTATAATAATAGTAATAATCGAGGACTTGGAGGATCTAAGAGTAATTCTAAGCCGAAAGGTAAATTGGGTTTAATTATTGGAATCACAGGTCCAAATTTTATAATAATATTGGCTGTATTGGGATTCATCCTTATATTGAAACACAAGAGAAGAAAAACTGCTCCAAATAGCTCAGGTCAGTAAATACTTTTGGAACGACGATTCGAGTCCTGTCGATTTTTTTATTCCAAAATTTCCGATTTTCGAATTTTTTTTCTTCATTTCAAGTTTTGAAAATTTTAATTTATTTTTTTAGGAGGAGCAAACATGCCACAAACATCAACGATAGACCCTGAAATAATAGGTGGAGTGGGTGATTCGATTGTGAACGAAATCAAGGTAAACATGGAGTATGATCAAGGAGAAGGAGAAGGAGAGGGAGAAGGAGAAGAAGAAGAAGATGCGATCTGTACATGTTGATTTTTTTGGTGAACATCATCCACACATATTTATAAAGAATCGATGCTCGATTAATGTTTTAGAATTTACAAATAAAAGTTTAGTAAAAAGGTCTTACTTGTTGGTGGTGTGCGGTGATGATGGTGCGGTTGGTGGGTCGCTGGTCGTCGCCGGCACAGTGGAAGCCTAGCTGGTCTGCGTTGCGGCTGTCTGGCGGCAGTCGTGCGTTTTTTTTTGGGTCTTGAACAAATTAAAAATAGGGTTTGTTTGTAGGGGTCATTAGCAATAAACCCCTCATATAGATAATAAATGGTGATATGTTCACCCCTTAAATCTTTCTTTGTGATACCCCTATAAATTGTATTCTCAATTCTACGCTTATGTCAATTAGCATAATTAGTCTCAATTATTCCTTTTTTTTTTTCTCTTTCCATAACAATAATTTAATTCCTAAAAATCTGCTTCCAAATTCCTAAAAAATTGCTACCAACTCAAAAAAAAAAGTATGATTTTTTTATTTTTTTATTATTTTCAGATTATTTATTTATTTTTATTTTTTAATATTTTTTTTAATAAAAATAGTTTTTTTAATTTTTTTTCTTTAAACAAAAAATTGATTTTTTTTTCTCGATAGGTTTACAACTCCGAATATGTCTATAGTTGAATATGACTATATGTGACTATGTAGACATATTCTTTCATTATATTACAATTTTTTACATTTTCAACTTAAAAATTTCGATTATATAGGGGGGGATAGTCATGTTTATCAAATTATATAAAACAACGAAGATTTCGCATTGTTTACGAAGACAATCCAATCAAAATTCATTTAAAAAAAATAACAATTTTGAACCTAGTTATTAGAAGTCAACTTGAAAACGAGAAGGTGGAACATATTCGAATATGACTACAGTCATATTCAACAATAGTCATATTCCAATATGACTACAATCATATTCGAAAAATACATAAATATGACTATAGTCATATTCGAATATGACTATAGTCATGTTACTGCTGATGTTCAGATCTGAATGAAAAAAAAATGGAAAAATACATAAATAAATATAGAAAAATAATGAAAGAGATGCATGGGGAGTCGACGATAACAGCGGTGGTGGCGGTAGTGAAGGAAAGAGAGTGAGAGAGGCGGCGACGATGGTGGTGGACAAATCTGGAAAAAAAAAAACTGAGCAATCGATAAAGTTAACGAAAAAGAGAGAAAGAGTCTTACGTGGAAACGAACGGCAATGAGCGGCGATGGTAATTGTGGTGTACAAATCTATGTGGAGACGATGGTGTAGACACAGCCACGGGCCGGTTCCGGGCCGGTTCAAACCGGTTCACGGTTCACATTTTCCGGAACCGGAACCGGCCCGTAGTATGGACGGTTCAGCGGGCCGGGTCGGTCCGAAAATTTTGAATTTTTTTTTTTTTTTTTTTGAAATATTTGATGAATAAGTAAATTAAAAGAAGTACTTTTAAATAGAAAAAGGAAAAGGAAATAAATGAAAAGACTTGAACTTAATTTTAAATTCAAAATTTTAAAGATTTCGAATTTAAAATGAAGTTGCCTACGTATCCATTTCAAATTTACTAACAATTGAAGAGAAATTTGAAAATGCAAAAGAACTTTTTTCTTTTTTTTTTTGACTAAGAACCGAAGAGAAATTCGAGAATGCAAAAACTAAAGAGAAAATTGAACTTTACTAAACTTTGATATTGAAGAAGTAGAGAGAATTGTGAGTGAATTGGTGAGAAATTGGGTTGGGGTGTGAGGGTATTTATAGGAAAAATTAGGGGGAAAAAAAATTCAAAAAAAAAGTAAATAACGGCCGGTTCACCCGGGCCGGTTCGGGCCGGTTCACTAGCCGTTATTTGCTTTTTTTTTTGAATTTTTTTGATTTTTTTTTTTTTTAAATCCGGGTGAACCGCCGGGCCGACCCGGCGGTTCACGGTTCACCATTTCTTAGAACCGGGCCCGTCCCGGGTAGGACGGGCCGGTTCACCCGGTCAACGGGCCGGTTTGGGCCGTCAACGGGCCGGTTCCGGGCCCAAAACCGGCCCATGGCCATGTCTACGATGGTGGTGTAAAGAGAGAGAAATCGAGAGAGGCAACGAACACGAGAAAATAATAAATCACTAATCGGAGTTAATCAACAATAGTCATATTCGAACCAGATTAGTCACGTTGATGTTGCTGTTTCAATCTGGAGAGAAAAAAAAAAGAGTCGAAATAACGAAATGGAGGGAGGGGGAGGCGACGACAACGGCGGTGAATGAAAAAGATAGTGGGGACGTGGCTACGGTGGCCGTGGTGAACAAATCTGGAAAAAAATAAAAATTGAGAAATCGAAAGAGACGAAAAGGAAAATCTCCATGTAACACATCCGACAGTGGGCGGCGAC